TCCCCTTATCTTCATTTCCCTTTTTAATCTTTATTTTTCCTTTTTTTATCTTTATTTCCCTTTTCCCGCCTTTTTTTGCCTTACTTTCCCATTTTTTCCTCATTTTTCCACTTTATTTTCCTTTTTTTTCTTTATTTTCCAATTTTTCCAATTTATTTTCAATTTCTTTCCTTTATTTTCATTTTTTTTCCTTTATTTTCCATTTTCCTGTCTTGATTTTCCACCCCACCCTCCCCTTATCTTTATTTCCCTTTTTAATCTTTATTTTTCCTTTTTTTATCTTTATTTCCCTTTTCCCGCCTTTTTTTGCCTTACTTTCCCATTTTTTCCTCATTTTTCCACTTTATTTTCCTTTTTTTTCTTTATTTTCCAATTTTTCCAATTTATTTTCAATTTCTTTCCTTTATTTTCATTTTTTTTCCTTTATTTTCCATTTTCCTGTCTTGATTTTCCATTTTTTTCCAATTTATTTTCCATTTTTTTCCCATTTTTCCCTTTTTTTCCCATTTTTTTCCCACTTTCCCCTTTCTTCTCTTTTATTTTCCATTTTCTCCTTTTTCCCTTTTTCCCATTTTCCCCTTTTTCCCATTTTTCCCATTTTTTCCCTTTTTTTCCCATTTTTTCCCATTTTTCCTTTTTCCCCATTTTTCCCATTTTCCCCATTTTTCCCTTTTTTCCCCTTTTTCCCCTTTTTCCCATTTTTTCCATTTTTCCCATTTTTTCCTCTTTTCCCCCTTTCTTCTCTTTTATTTTCCATTTTCCCATTTTTTCCCATTTTCCCCATTTTCCCCTTTTTCCCATTTTTCCCTTTTTCCCTTTTTTCCCTTTTTTTCCCATTTTTTCCTCTTTTTCCCCTTTCTTCTCTTTTATTTTCCATTTTCCCTTTTTCCCTTTTTTTCCCATTTTTCCCATTTTTTCCATTTTTCCCATTTTTTCCTCTTTTCCCCCTTTCTTCTCTTTTATTTTCCATTTTCCCATTTTTTCCCATTTTCCCCTTTTCCCCTTTTTCCCATTTTTCCCATTTTTCCCCTTTTTTTCCCATTTTTCCCATTTTTTCCCAACTTTCCCCATTTTTCCCCCAGGGACGACCCCGACCCCCCCTCGGACTCGGAGAGCGCCGAGCTGCGGGGCCCAGGTGACCCAAAACCCCCCAAATTCACCCCAGCACCAAAATGCCCCAAAATCACCCCAAAAAAACCCAAAATCACCCCAAAAAACCCCAAATTCACCCCAAAATCACCCAAAATCACCCCAAAATCACCAAAAATCACCCAAAATCACCAAAAAAACCCAAAATCACCAAAAAAAACCAAAAATTCACCCCAAAATCCCCAAAATTCACCCCAAAAATCACCCAAAATCCCCAAAAATCTCCCAAAATTCACCCCAAAAATCACCCAAAAAACCAAAATCCCCAAAAATCACCCCAAAAATCACCCCAAAAAACCCAAAAATCACCCAAAACCCCCAAAATCTCCCCAAAATCC